GCGCCCTATAGCAAAAACCTCTCCAAAAAAAAAAAAAAGTACATAAATTATAGAACAAAATGATTACATATAAAAATATTTCCAGAGGCTGTTGAAGGGGAAAAATTCACTTAAAAACCTGACTAAAAGCCTGAAAACATAGGAGATCACCTGTGATTATATATCTCAGATACAACATTTTGATAAATTCCTTTAAACTTTTTCTACATTTACACATTTTCTTTTTTTTTTTTCTTTTTTTTTTTGAGAGGTTTTCGCTATAGGGCGCGCGCGCTCGCCAGACAGACAGAGAGAGACATAGAGACAGAAAGCGAGAAATCACCCCCCAGGGGGGATGGTCACGCTGCAATCCCTTCTCCTCCATTCTCCTCTCGGGATCTTGGGCACGCACGCACACGCGCCCGGCGTGAGATTTAAGCCATCGGGTCCGAGACGCGAACCGCGGTCGACTACGTGGGAGTCCAGCGACATAGCCATTACGCTAACTGCTGGTACTCCACATTTTCTTTAATGAACATTTATAACTCTTACAGCAAGATAAAATGACAAAGAACTCTTGTAAGATGTGAAGAAATGGAGTAGATCAGCTGAATAAATGCATTCATACATTCAGAATTCAGTATACAAAAATACATGGTCCCAAGAACCAAATGAGATACTTTCAGATCCAATACTTTCACATGATAAAGTTAATGTGAAAATGTAATTGGTAGGGACCAGCCAGCAGATGGTATAATGGTTAAGTCACTGGACTCCCACATAGTTGACTGGGGTTCAAGTCCCAGACCCAGCAGCTTAAAACTCACGCTGGGCTCATGTACATGGTATGCCCAAATCCTAAGAAAAGAGTGGAGGAGAAAGAACTGAGGCATGGCTATGCCCCCTGGGGGTGATTTCTCATTTTCTGTCTCCCTATTTCTGGTGAGCACATGCACTCTATAGCAAAAATCTCTTTTTAAAAAAGAAAATATAATTGGTGAACTATTGTTACAAGACAGCTTATTAGATTAATAGCTAGTGGAACTTATTAATTATTGCAAAGCAAAGAAAACACGATAAACTAGAGAGACATAGCAAATACTATCACATTTTTTTTTTCTTTAAATTTGGTAGACAGTGAGTATACTCACTGAAGAGAGGAAGAAAGAGAAGGAAAATAAAGTACACCCCATGGAGAATGATCACGCTGCAATACCCTCTCCTCCACCTCTCCTCTTGAGATTCTGGGCATACATGCACACATGCCAGGTGTGCTTTTCGAGCTGCCAGGCTCAGGACTTAAACTACGCAGTCAGTCATGTGGGATCCAGTCACCTTAACTACCACAGCTGGCCCAATATATTCTAAGACCACAGACAGAAACTAAGGGAATGGGTGGTGGTGCAGTAGTAGAGCAACTGGACCCACAGAGAAAGATACTGGGTTCCTGTCCTGGAACATCCCTGAACATGATGGGTGTGTGTATGCTCACGCTCATGCTCTGGGCCTCCTGAGCCTGGGAGTGAATCACGGTATGAGGACCCTGTTGAGGGTGCCTGTCTGTCTCTTTGTCTCTCTCATAGAATAAATAAATAGCTTAAAAAAAAAAAAAACTCACCTGCTGATAATAAACAGGTAATATAAATATCTATAAATATTTTAGTGCAAGAGAAGAGAAAATTGAAAGGCTCACATGAAAACATTTTTTTTTAAGAAACAATATACTGACCTGATATTTAAGAATGTTAGAGCCTGTAGGTTTAGAATTGCCTCTGGGATATACCTAATACAATTCTGGTACAAGTTGAGATTTTCAAGAGAAACGAAGTGACATGTTTCTATAGGAATTTCTGAGAGGCGATTTCGTGATAAGTCTGTTAAAAAAAAAAAAGAAATTAAGTTTAAAATCAGTTCCTGAAACATATTTTACTGAAATAAATGAGCAGTATTCAGGATTATTTTAATTCCTCAGAGTTCCTATTACAGTAATTAGTACCAAATAAGCATTTAAATATTTATTTGTTAATTGATGGGCTGGCAGGTGGTGTGGTGCTTCCGGAGCTGAACTCACACATGGCCAACTGTGGTTCAAATCTCAGACCTGGTGGTTTGCTTTCTTACTTCCCCTTTTCCTCTCTTTGGTCAATTAAATAACAATAATAATAATAAAAAAAATAAATAAAATGAAATAAACAATTCTTTAAAAAAAAAACAAATATATATTAATTGACTGAATAAACCATTTTTAAAATTTAAATTTTATTTATTCACTTATTTTTATTTGACCAGAGATAGACAGACACACAGAGAAGGAAAGTGAGAAAGCAAATCACCAAGTCTGGGACTCAAACCGTGGTCAGCCATGTGGGAGTGTCCAGTGCATTAACCACCACGCCACCTGCTGGCCCCTGAATAAGCTATTTTAACTTATGCCTCTGAACTGGCTGCTGGAAAATGCTGTTGATCCCTTTTGAGCTTTCTTACATACTATACACATACATGCACGCATGTGCACACACACACACACACACACACATATATATATATGTAGTATAATGTGTATACATATGATGGTAAGGAGGAAAAGGGATGGTGGCACAACCATATTCTATTTGGGGGGATGGTCTCTCTCTCTCTAGCAGGAGCGCATACTCCTTGGCAATAGAAAAAAGTGATTTTGCAATAGGGCACATGCACGAGAGAGAGAGAGAGCCTGGAACTTGAATTGCAGTCAGCCATGTGGGAGTGCAGTGCCCTAACCACCATTCAACCTGCTGGCCCTCTGTCATTGTCTCTTAGAATTATCCCACAAATAGGGACCTACAGATGGTGTAATGATTACATTGCTAGGCTCCCACATAGATGACTGTGATTCGAGTCCTGGACCTGGTGGCTTAAAACTCGCATACGGTATTATGTGCATGTGTGCTCAAAATACTGAGAAGAGAAGAGAATGGAGGAGAAGGGATTACGCCCACCCTGGGAGGGTGATTTCTTGCTTTCTGTCTCTCTCTGTCTCTCTAGCGAGCATATGTGCTCTATAGCAAAAATCTCTCTTTTTAAAAAAAAAAAAGAATTTTAAAGCTGAAGTGTGTCCTGGCCTGTTTGGGGAAGATATGCTCTAAACTGCATCATCTAGACTCCCGTAATATTCAGACAAGAAGTCATTTTAAAGCTGAGGTATGTCTTGGCCTGTTCAGGGAAGCTATGCTCTAAACTCCATCTTCTAGACTCCCAAAATATTCAGACAAGGTAGAGTGACCTCTGTCCTCTCGCTGTCTCTGGCCATCTGTCTCTCTCTTTGCTCTCTCTCTTTAATTCTTTTTTTTTTTT